TTTCTTCCGTTTCCCGTTCTAGATCTGGATGGACGAGAGCTGCATGGTCATTGCAACATATCACATTTCCAAGCGCCGTTAATCGCTCTTCTATCCGCTGGATCTTAACGGCGTCTGGGAGCGAGTTGCGCAGGTGTTGGAGTTCTTGATCTGTGGTTGACGTGGGAACAAGAAGGCCTTTGCGGTTTCTGAGGGGGAGCAAGAAGAGAAAATATCATGGTTAGCTTTGGCACTGGTAAATCGTAGTGCAGTGTAGGCGATTATATAAAACAGCAAGGGAGAGAGGGAAGAGAAGAGGATCATGGTGGTTTGATTGAATTATGACTTACCCAGCGGTTAATCGTCCCACAATCCTCGTACCGGCGATGGTAGCATGACATATCGGGATGACATCTTGCAACTCTGCTTCGAAAATGCTGTTTTCGAGGGAAGCCAAGATTAGTTACTTCGCGCTTTTCCCCCAACGATATTCTGTATGACAAAAATCACAAAAATATTCAAACGTCCGCCATTCTTGTCGAATCAGATCAACTTGGCTGGATCTAAGCATGAGCCACTTGATGTTTATCAACATATCACTTCCCCTACTCGTGCATAGCAGGCTCCACATCCCGTGAGGCGTGATTATCTCCCTCTTGGAATGTATCGATCCAGGGAGAAGCAATAATCAGATATTCCCGATCCGAATTCCAATATGTGATCCGGTTCCTCCCGCCAATCATTTTCTCACGACAGGAGGGAGATCTTAAAACGATGTTGTCCCCGCAACCTCCCTGCCTCACCACCTCTCAAATACCTACCCATCAAAGAAAAAAACCGAAAGAGCGAACAAAAGGAGAAAAATCGGCCAAGAAATCTTAATGCGCGTACCTATAGAAGTTCTCCGACGAGCCAATGGCCACCAATGCGTAGGAATTCGTCAATGTCGCGAACACACCAACCCTGCGAATGGCGGGAAAATGGCAGCGGTTAGCCAGATGAAGTAAATCGTCTTGAAAAAAAAAAAAAAAAAAAACAATTTCACGTTCTGTATGATCGAAGGGGAGCGGCTGGGGTTGTCAAAAGGAGAGGGTCAAAATCCCCATTATATATAAAAGAAAAATTCAAATTCAAAAATCGAATTTTATTAACCCGCCAAACGAGACCAAGGTAGAAGAAGAGGAGGGGCAACTCAACTCATTCGAATTCTCAAAGCGAGCGCGAACCGCCATGATTTATCAACAGTCCCTGTAAATTCCTTTGTATTCTCTTTTTCCTATAGTTCGCTGTATGCTGATTCCAGGAAACGCAGATTGAAGAAAGTGGGATATATATATATATGCTTTTGTGTGCCGTGGAAAGATCTCGGATTCGGCGGGTGCAGCGGGGTAAACCGGGAGAGAATAGGTTGTTGATGATGATGATGATGATGATGTATTTTTGCCGTCGTGGAGTTGGTTGTCGAGTCTGATGTTTTTTTTTTCTTTTTTCCTTTTTCGTTTTTCCACCTCGTCTCTTTAATAGTTTTGGCTCGAATTTCCTGATGTTGAGGGTGGGCAGGCAAGCAGGCGGAACCCTTTGAGGGGCAAAAAACTAGTTCCTTGAACGAGCAACAAAACTCTTCTTTCGTTTTTCTTTGTCCTGCGCTTCTGGACCCGCGGGATACAACGATTAATGGCACCGCAACTAGTCTTATCGCAGAGGCCGCTCCGTGCTCCGTGCTCGGGGATACGGGGATGAGATGAGATGGGATGGATGGATGAGGATGAGGATGAGGATTCTGCAGGCGAAGGCGGGGATTGTGGAGGAGGGCAGCGGTGGCTGTTTACATCAGCAGAAAACGTCGTCCGGATCGGCCTGGAGGAACTTCTTCTGCGTAGCTCATCTGTATACATACATACAGAATCCC